AATTTTGTGTTTCCTAGGTTTAACCGAAATTAATTGGTAAATATCCGAATTTYGCACGTTTACCAACAGTCGTCGGCGAAACCTAGGATTTACCGCTAAATTCTTTACTACTGTTCGGGCCGTACGGCGATTTGATTTTATTTAAATTTATTGAACGCACGGMAATTAGAACTTTAAATTATATATACAAAAAAAAAACTAACGCTTTTGTTTAACCAAACAAAATTATTATATATTTTTTGTTATTTAATATCTTTTTTATTGAGATAATTTAATACAATAATTTTTAATTACGTGTAATTTTAATTTTAATACTATTTTTGGTCTCATTTAACGCACCTAGGATTGGCGATAGACAGTGCATCGATCGCAGATTCGCAGCTGTCACAAGACTAAAAAAGTAAAAACCGGCCTTTTGACCGGTTGAGCCGATAGCCCGTTATTATCTCTTATCTTACGCCGACGACCGCGATCGACCACTATCGATTGTCAATAGTGAAGAACTACGGTACTTTTACCGCAACATATATAATATTACACTGACTTACCCCTCAGGTGATCAGGTACAATCTATTCCTACTTTGGCTACTTTACTGGAGACTCCAGTCTGGACTTCTGGAGTACAGCAGAKCGGTTACATACTTCCTAACTTTTTAGGTTTTAACATTAATAATACAAAATTACTTTATTGCTGTAGCTAGATTTTTTTTTGTGAGAGGGGGAGGGCACGGGACGCTTAATTTTTGATAATGCAGGGTGCAGCGGGTAAAACAGAGACCGGCTGTTGACGTCGCGATGTRACCACTAGCCACACGCTTAAAACATCTATAATGCCCTTTAAAACCAAGAATAATTGTTCTTAAAAAATTCTGAATRTTTTGTTTTTAATCCATTCTTTAAATTTTCTTGCATATTTTTTATATTTTATACCTACAAAATAATTTCAATGTTTCACATCAGCCAGGCTCACTTTTGAACTAGAATGCTTATCACTTGTTACTTTCTAACACTATTGTTCATAAAAAAAATTGAGGAAGGGGGTACTTGCCATCAGTACCTCTCTCCCTGGTTACGGACTTAGGGTACTGCATATATCTCTGTTTGGAAACATAATAATTTCCATTTTCTTACTTTTCAATAACAAATAATGATCAAGTTAATGCCGTGAAAAATGTTTTAAATTATATTCAAGCATTTAAGAGCATACACTTTAGTCGTACTATTAGATACGTTTTAGTTTTGCTTTACAAGCATTTGATACAATGATACCTACTTATTAAGTAGGTCGACACGTATATATCTGGCAGTAGTTTACTCTTTTTTACGTTTCAAATTGACAACAGTAAGTATTATTGATGACGTGATGTAAACCTGCCCGACAGATGACAGCTCAGATTGCTTTACAGAAGTGTAAATACACGTGAAAYTAGAAAATAGTAAATAAAAATGAATTTTTAACACAATATGTTATTGTAATTTTTGTTAACAWACTTCACGAYTTGATCTATTTCATCGATCACACRTTATGAATCAACTCCTAAAAATCTATATTTTAACAAAAAAATATTAGGATTCTTATTATTATAGAAATTAGAACATTTTTACCCATGGAACATTAGTACATTATGATACATTATCTACTTGCAGTTAGGGTGTAAATAAATAGTGACTCTCAGGAGCTGAGTGTAGTGTAGATTTTGCAATAATATTTTTTCATTTTATTTTATCATAATAGACAGCAAAATAAATGCTAATCAAAATCATTTCATTGAGATATAATTTATAATATATTTTTCTTATTTAATTTCAGATTGATAACCTACTTTATGGACGTCCGCCAACAATGAATGTATAATAAAAATAATAAACCAAATAAATAATGTGGTTTTACTTGAATATTTTTATTTATTTTATAATTGAAAAAATACATAAACATGATGCTGTATAATTTTAAAAGAAAAGGTACAATTATTAAGTAAAGTAAGGCACAAGTATAAGGCACTTTTGTTTGTTTACACAATAAATAATTAGTAAAATATATAGAGTAAGATAAAATATATCATATATATACATCTTTATCCATGGTCTAATATAAACTATAGTCTATAGTTGGTAAATCAGTGCACAATAGATATATGATACTATTTTGCTAAAGTGATATGAGAACAATTATAAAACTTAAACGTAACAAAATTATTAATTAATCAAAATAAAATATTAATTTAACTGCCATAATTTACATACATTAAATTTTAAATATAACCAATACAAAGTTTTATAAAAGTAAAAACAAATATTCAGAAATTATATTAAGTACATTCTAAGAAGGTAACATAATAATAATTTAAATTTGACTTGGGAAAATTATAATACTTAAGTATTTTATTT